GGGAGGGTGCTATGTGTGTGTGGGTAAGTACAGTAGCCAAGAAAGGTAACAACAAATATCCATAGGAAGGTCATTTAAAATTTAAAGCTTATTTGATGTTCACAAAATGTAAACTCCCTCCTATTAGCCTCAACTTAGAAATAAAGTAACTAATATTCTGAAAGTTTGTGTAATATGCTCACTTAGCTAAAGAGAGACTAAAGTGAAATTTGAATGTTGTTTTTAAACTTATAATTAAACATTCGATACAATAAATTGAAACATTACTCTTTGGATTATTTATTCAATTTTGTTCTCTGAAAAACTGGTGAAGATTCATATCAAACCTGTTTCTGCTTTTAATTCTATAGGTGTACTCAGTTATTGCTTTATTCAAATGTTATAATCTTCTTAGAGAAAAACAGGAGGAGGATTCTCTTCATTTTACAGATAAATGGAATCATACAACCACTCCAGAGTCACAACAATCATACTTAGAGAATGAGCAACTGGGCCGTCTTCCTTCTTTTGCTATGTAGTAGATGGGGATGCTTTGCCTATAGTGAAGGAGTGGTAAGGAGCCCATCTTCCTGTGTCCAAGAGTAAAATATTGGCAAAATACAAAACTGGGAATTAGGAAGTTCTCATTTCACTTATGTATGCATTGGACAAGTTACTCTTCTTGAGCTAATTTGAAAAAAGTTAAAACATAAGTTCCCCAAAGTCCATCTTTGCTCAAAAACTTTGGGTCTCATCACAATTTCAAGAGGAAATAAAGATATAAAAGCAGGAGAGCTCCTATTGTGATGAATTTGCTGGTGGTAGATCTATCAACAGAATATATAAAATAACTATAAGCTAATGCTTGGGACTTGGAAGGAACTGATTTTATCTGTATCCACAGCCAGTCATGATCACCAAGGTTCTGGAAGTAGATAATCATACAGTGACAATGTATTTCATTCTTCTGGGATTTCCAACAAGACCAGCCTTCCAGCTTCTCCTCTTCTTTGTTTTCCTGGCAACCTACCTGCTCACACTGCTAGAGAACCTCCTCATTATCCTAGCCATTCGCAGTGATGGGCAGCTGCACAAGCCTATGTACTTCTTTCTGAGCCACCTTTCTTTCCTGGAGATGTGGTATGTCACCGTCATTAGCCCCAAGATGCTGGTAGACTTCCTCAGCCAAGACAAGAGCATTTCCTTCAATGGCTGTATGACCCAACTTTATTTCTTTGTGACCTTTGTCTGCACTGAGTATATCCTCCTTGCTGCCATGGCCTTTGACCACTATGTATCCATATGCAATCCACGACGCTATCCAGTCATCATGACCAGCCAGCTCTGTGGTACACTGGCTGGGGGATGCAGGTTCTGTGGACTCATGACTGCCATGATTAAGATGATTTTTATAGCCCGACTCCACTACTGTGGCTTGCCTCAGATCAATCACTACTTTTGTGATATCTCTCCACTCCTCAATGTCTCCTGTGAGGACTCTTCACAGGCTGAGCTGGTGGACTTCTTCTTGGCCCTCTTGGTCACCGCTATTCCCCTTTGCATAGTGGTGGCATCTTATGCCATCATCCTCACTACCATCCTCAAAATCCCATCTGCTCAGGGTTGCCAAAAGGCATTCTCCACCTGTGCCTCTCACCTGACAGTTGTAGTACTCTTCTATTCCACAACCCTTTTTACCTATGCCCGCCCCAAGCTCATGTATGCCTACAATGCCAACAAGGTGGTATCTGTTCTCTACACTGTCATCATTCCACTTCTCAACCCCATCATTTACTCTCTGAGGAACCGGGAAGTAAAGGCAGCCCTTAAAAAGACCATACTTTGCAGAGGAAGTGGACCCCAGGGAGATGGGACGTTTAGTAGTTAAAAAGTCTACAGAATTCCTTCAGGTTTGAATCAAGAGATGATTACTACAAACATTTTTTTCTCAATCTTGTGTTTGGTTATCTTTCAAGCTCTGGTACTATAACACTGCTCTCCTGTGTGTGTGTGTGTGTGTGTGTGTGTGTGTGTGTGTGTGTGACCATCCATACACAAACATGACTAAAGAACCATATCCCCAAGAAGTAGCCTCTACTATCAGGTAAAGAGACATGTTTTAAATATTTTACAAAATCTATTTGAAATGAGAAAGAAAGGAAAAGAAGAACAGAAGGAGAAAGGGAGGGAAGAAGGGAAGAAACAAGGTAAATACTTTCTTCATACAACTTACCAAAATAAGTTCCAGACAATATAAAGTTTAATACAAAGAACAAAACCATTTTTATCTCTCAAGTTAGAAAATAACTTTCTAGCACTCTATTCTGTAGAAGTGAAAGAAAAAGATTAAAAAAAAAATGTATTCCTGCCACATGTGATGGTGTGCACCTGTAGCTCAAGCTACTGGGGAGGATCCCTTGAGACCAGGAGTTTGAGTTCGGCCTGAACAAACAGGGAGACCCTGTCTCTAAAAATAATAATTTCTAACTTCTTAAGGCTTTTAAAAAACAATACATAAAATCTACATCAAATAACAAAGTGACAACTATTACCAACCTATTAAAAACACTTCCAGATAAACTTTTAAATATTAAGCTCTTGATGAAAAAGTAGGTTAAGAATATAAGTGCAATTTTTAAAACAGGCCTAAAATGAGGTATTAGGATGGGTCCTAATTCAATATTATTGGTGTCATTATAAGAAAAGAAAATTTGGACACAGATACAGACAAAGGAAAGATGATGTTAAAACACATAAGGGAGAAGACCATCAAGTTACTGCAGTAATGTATCTACAAACCAAAGAATGAGAAATATGGCAGGCAAACAAACACCAGAAGCAGAAGAGGCAAAAAAGAATTTTTTCCTTGAGCTGTCAGAGCAAGTATGACTGTGCTAGCTCTTTGATTTCTGGTTTCTAACTTTCAGAATAGTAAGACAATAAATTTTGTTGTTTGAAGCCACTCAAGTTTTAGTACTTTATAATCGCAGACCTAGAAAATTAATAAAATGGCCATTAACTTCCATAATGCTTAATAGAAATACAAAAAAATAAAATTTGTACAATATCAAGGTGCCCAAACATTTTAATTGGTTATTTATAAGAGATACTACCTGTCATGGATAACAATGTAAGGACACAAGAATTTGTATTATACTGTCTGTAGTTTTATACATTAATTCCAACTCTATAAGTCAATCTAGAAATTAGATTCCTTTGGCCCTATAATTTCAAATCTAGGAGTCTGTATTGGGAAGGTAACTTATAAAGCTGTAAACACACATATTCAACTCAGCACTTTTAATAAAATATTAAAAGCATGCAAATTTCCCAAACCAGTGGTATGATAAAGCAAAATGTGTTTTATCTATGAGATAGAATGTGATGCAGATAAAAGTCATTTTCAAAAAATTTACAGAATAATATCAAATGGAAAAACAGGTTATAAAATTATGATCATTTTAATTCTATAAAAATTTTAATAGTAATGAAGATATAGTTTTTGATGTATAGATAGATATATGTGTATGTTAAAAAACCCTAGAGAAGCCGGGCTCGGTGGCTCAGCCTGTAATCCTGTGCCTTTGGGAGGCTGAGGTGAGTGGATTGCCTGTGCCCGCGGGTTCAAGACCCGCCTGGGCAGCGAGACCTCATCTCTACAATAAATCAAAAAAATCAGCCGGGCGTGGTAGCACATGCCTGTAATTCCAGCTACTTGGAAGGCTGAGGTGGAAGGATTGCCGGAGCCCAGCAGGTTGAGGCTACGGTGACCGGGAGCGGCCACTGCACTCCAGTCTGGGCGACTGAGTGAGACTCCAACTCAAAAAAAAAAAAAAAAAAACCCTAGAGAGATTTAAATGATGCTTTAAAGTTATTTCCTCCAGAGTTATGACTTATTTTATAATTACCTGTATTTTCTGAAAGTTCTACATTGAACATGTATTAGCTTTATAATTACTATACACCTAAAATATTAACTACACACAAAAAATTTTCTGGGGCTGTTGTTTTAATACACTTCTATTATTTAAACATCACTAATAAAGAAGACTCAGTGGATTGTAATACCTCATTATAATTGATACTATGTTTATGGTTTTATGGAGTAAATATCACCACTTTTACCTCTGACCAAGTTCATACATCAGTTGAGAAGTTATTTTTTTTATAGGACAAATAAAATAACAAATGGAAACCGAAATATAATTTTTACTACTATTTATGGTTAGGTTGGAAGAAATGGCTTCAGAAGAAAAAAAGTCAACTTCCTATTACTGAACTCTCCAATTAGATAAACTTCTGCCCTAATCAACCAGTATAGTCAGATACTTTTAGGTCTCCCCATTTGGGTTTTGATTTCTGTGACCTGTTGGTTTCTAAAGAGAAGAAATGAAGAATGGGGATGTATGTAAGCACCTCCTCCCAAACAACCAAAAGTGAATAGAGAAAATCCTGCTTTGTGCAAACCAGAGAAGTTAGGAAAACTGAATATATGTTCCACAATAAGTTTTACAAAGCTTATATGAAATTTTTCCAATCACTTTTGAAATAAAGCTGGTTAGCACATGCATTTTACAAGAGATACATTTTAAACTCAAGGACACAAATAAGTCAAAAGAAAAAGGTAGAAAAGGTATATCATGTGAAACAGTAACCAACTAGAACAGAAGTGACTATATCAATATTAGACTAAGTGGGCCTTGTTATGCAAATTGTTACTAAAGACAAAAGTCGGACATTTCATAGTGATAAAAGATTCAGTTCATCAAGAAGACTTATCAAGTGTAAACATACACTCAACAAACAACAGAGCCTCAAAATATATGAATAAAAAACTTACAAAATTGAAGGGAATTATAGACAATTCAACAATAATAGCCAAAGGCTTCAATACTCCCCCTTTCAATAATTGATAGATCAAGCAAACAGAAAACCATCAAAGATATATAAAACTTAAACTACACATAAACCAAATAGTCTTATTCATCTGTAGAACCTTCCATCCAACAAAACAGAGCACACATTCTTCTCAGATACGCATGGGATATTCTTGAAAATAGACCATTTGTTGAGAGGTCAGAGGAGAGGAAAAAACCAGGACAGTTTAATGACTTGCAAGTCAAAGGATTTAAATTCTTCAAGAAAGGAATGTTCACCAATGTCAGATGCTGTGGATTAAACACACAATAAGATGGCACATTAGAGGCATCACCCGTTGGAACTTTGTTAAATAGTACGGAAAGGCCAACACGGTGAACTCCAATTCAAGAAGGAAAACAGATATTCATTAGAACGGCAAAGGACACCTCAGATTTCAGAGAGGAAAAGATGAGCAAATAACCTCCATAACAGTGCTCTGCAGAGCAAAAGGAGTGTGACCTTGAAACATGGGACAGTACTGAAAACTCCCCTCTGAGGTATACCTTCCAATCAGGGGTCTGCTTAACCCAGGCCACAGGAGAACACCTCATTTATCCCCGACCCCAGAGCAGTCTTAGGGAGAGGCTGAGAGCTGATAAGAAGGAAAGGCACCCAGCAAAGCCATAGATGTTCTCTCAAATCTGAGTTGGTGAGAAAGACACTATTTATGATAATTTCACTGTCTCAGCAACAGTGACTGCTGATGCATTCTGGTTTCTGCCCAGAGACAAGGCTGCTCACTTTTGTTCTGGAGTAGGGAACCAGAGATAAGCTGGGAGCAGGGAGATCACCCTAAGGTTTGCAACTGGACATAAGCTTATCCCAGCTACAAGGTGGGACCAGCAAACAATCCCTCCAAAGTCATATTTCCCTCCCAGAAGGGGAGAGGTTTGCAAGGGTCAGATCTACAACCTGGAATCAGTCTCTGCATGTCACTGCCTAGGTGCCCCATGATGACCCTCCCTTCCAGGAAGTTGCAGCAAAGGGCCCCAACAATACCAGCAAACACTAGAATAGTGGCCTCAATGACAGAAGCCTAGCAGAAGGCCCCTATTCCCTTGCTCTTGAACCTGCAGCCTGAGTAGAATATCTGTTGTAGCCATGGTTTCTTATGACATTATGTAACTAATGTCAGTTTTACAACCTGAAATTCTTCAGTGAGCACCATAGTTAAGAACTCCAGCCTCTTTCCTGGACTAGTTGGGGTAGCATGCCTAGCAATACTGAGGAAAAGGAGGGCCTCCCATTCCTATACAACTGAGAAACCGGTCTAAGTGGCAAAAGGGTTCTCACCTTTCCACACTTGAATCAGCAGAAGGGTTTTCACCTCTCCGCACTTGAATCAGCAGCTTGAGCAGCATAAGTTTCTAATCCTGTGGTTTCTCCCAGGTAGCAAGGCCGGAAGCCAAGTTCAGCTCTTTGATCCAAAATTGGACTGTAGGTGTCATTGCAAGACACCACAATCTGCCCTTCAAGTCTGTTGGGGAAGTGTGGCACAATAGGACCAAGGATCAGGCAGCCTTCATTTCTATACACCCGGATTAGTAGCCTAAGCCACCATATCCCTCCTGGACAGTGATTCCTGCATAACAAGGTAAGCTTCACACGCTAACATACCCAATCACCTGGAGTAAGAAGATGAATCACCCCTCTCTCCCCACCCCAGTAGAGCCCTTGGTGCTGTGGTGCCACTACCTTCAGGGGCAGTCCTTGGTGCTGTGGTGTCTGTGCTCAATGCCCAGATGTGTCCCAGGTACCTGGGGCTTGCACTCTTCTAGATTAGGAGCCCAGGCCTTCCTCCCCTGCCCGAGCAGAGAACTCAAGGCAGCACAGGTCTCCTAACACCTCACCAAGGCACAACTCTGGGCATTCAGAAGCTGCACACTAGATCCAGCCTGGAATGGGGGCCTGGGCCTAATATCAGTGGACCTATAGGAGGGTCTGCCCAGTTTATCCCCACCCATTTTG